TCTAACCCTAATTAGTATACTATTTTTATGTATTCTAATCACAAATATGAACGGGTTCATACACGACCGATCAACAGTCAAGGGAATTAATAATTGAATCAGGAACCACTAATTTTTTCAACACAATATCGAGTCTAATTAAAAATAAATATATATGGTTATTACTTATTAGAAAGTCGTCATTTTTCACTATGAGATTTGAAGGCGTGAAATTTTAAGTGTGTTCCAATTTATATTCCTTTTGCTTCTCTCTAGAGTTTTTATTTTTCACCCGGGCTAGAATTTTCAACAATTATACATGGAATTTTCAACAATTATACATACCAAATAAATAGTTTCCTATTTTTTATAAAAACGTAAATAATTATCATCTTAAATACATCACCATAAAAGGAGTTAAGCCTCAACTATACAAATTACAGTTGGATACCTAAACTTAATAGATCGTTAGATTTATAACCTAAATTTGTTTTTTGGAATATAAGTCCTCAAAATATTGATGGAACATTACATTTTAGTACCTAAAATTTTTGTGTATTACATTTTAGTACCTAAACTTTTGAAGGTCTACAAATAGGTCTAATTTTTGTATGTAAAATTAAAGCACACTCGAATAAATGGATATCAATACTCAACTCATATACATTTAAATTATGAAAGTAAATATCCATACCCTAACCAAACTCATCTATAAACTTCCAAACTCATATATATGTCACCTATACCTACCCATAATCAATGGGTCTACTAGGGTTTAGGTAAATATCGTTTATTAGCCAAAATTTTCAAGATTTTTTAAATTGGATGTTGACCGTCATATATCTCTTCTCAGTCAATATTATTAACAAAAGTGTTAATAAAAAATTAATTTTAGGTTAATAATACTAATAAAATACCATAATGAGCCACATAATACATGCCCGCAAGCTATCTCCACCCCGCGACAAGGCACGACATTGCCATCTAATTGTTATTATTAAACTGCAAATCATTAGTGAACGGTAAAGATCTGGCTTAATATAATACTAATGGACAAATGTAGTGAGACACTTAAACTGAAAATTCTTTATATATAATAATGTACGATGTTAAGAAAGACTCAATGTCTCTGGGCTTGTCAGGGAACCGTGTGAGTAGTAGCGGGGAACCTGGTCCCCTAGGGAGCACTCCAGCTCCATCGTTATCCTCTTAGCCTCTGGGCTTGTTAGGGAAGTCCCTTTCCCTTTCTTTATTTTTTCCTATGATTAGTATTCAATCTTGGAACTGCCAAGGGGCAGGGAACGATTCGTTTTTAACTTTTCTTTCTTATTTTTGTAGGGCCCACCGCCCGGATATAGTTATCATTTTCGAACCTCGTGTTAGTGGGGTTATTGCTAACAATGTTATTGGCCGCACTAGTTTTGATGGAGTGCTCCCTGTGGATGCTGTTGTTTTTGCAGGAGGGATCTGGTAACTATGGAAAGAGCAAGACCTCAAAGTCACTCAAATCGATGCTTCCGCCCAACTTATTCATATGGTGTGTAAGAGAAGAGTGCAAGGGAGCGAAGAGATTTTCCTCTCAGCGGTTTATGGAAGCCCTAACTTAGCCGGCAGACAGGACCTGTGGGCGCAAATCAGAAGCTTAAGCACTAGCACTAGGGGTCCATGGCTGCTCGCAGGAGATTTTAACTCTATACTCAGTCCCCAAGACCGCAAGGGTGGCGTGCAATTCCAAGTGGCCAGGACTAGAGCTTTCCGTAGTTGTGTGGATGACAGTGGGCTCATTGATGCTGGGTTCTCAGGGCCGCGGTACACGTGGAAGCGAGGGAACCTGTTCCAGCGCCTGGATAGGGCCCTGTGCAACAAACAATGGCTCACAAGGTTCCCGAATATTGATGTTCGCCATCTAAAGAGAGTGGGATCTGATCACCGCCCTATCTTAGTGAGTGCTGAACCGAGTGGTCAAAGGGGTAAGAACGCGCATCCTTTTCGCTTTCTTGCTCCCTGGATTGCCTATGAGGACTTTGGGCGCGTCATGTAGGAAAGCTGGCAGGGTGGGATGGTTTTGCCGCAGGCCTTAGAGAATTTAGCTAGGGAGCTATGTTGATGGAATAGGGAAGTTTTCGGTCATATACAACAAAGGAAGAGGGCTTTGGCGAAGCAGCTTAGAAAATTGGAGAAACTGAATAAAGTAAAGGCTACTCAGAGATCAGCTGAGCAGGAGGAGTTGGTCCGGAAAGAGCTGGAGACTACCCTCTGGCAAGAATAACTATTGTGGTTCCAAAAGTCCCGAGCAACTTGGATCAATAAAGGAGATTGAAACACCAGGTACTTCCATCTCTCTACTCTCCGTCGGCGGCGGTGGAATAAGGTGATGGGATTGAGGGATGACTCCGGCCAATGGGTGTATGATGAGCCCCAGCTTCAGGAAATGGCGGTGGGGTTCTTTGCTCGGCTATTCCAAGCAGAATTCGATCCTAGAATGGAACTTCCCGGAGGCTTCCCTAGCATTGATAGCCGCGACTACCAAGGCTTAGAGCGCATCATCTTGGGCGAGGAAGTCCAACGAGCTGTCAAGAGTATGGGTGCTTTCAAAGCACCTGGGAAAGAAGGTTTCCAGCCACTATTCTGCCATAAGTGTTGGGAGATGGTCGGGAATTCTTTAGTGGAGTTCGTCATAGCTTGCTTCTCGCAGCCCGAGCTCATTCGGACAATTAACTAGACTCTCCTGGTTCTCATTCCGAAGAAGGAGAGTCCGGATTCTCTGAAGATGTTTCGGCCGACCAGTCTCTGTAATGTCGCCTACAAGACAGTGTCTAAGTGTGTGGTTCAGCAGATACAACCCCTTATGCGACACCTAGTCCATCCCACTCAGACCAGCTTTGTTCCTGATTGCCACATTTCGAGTAAGATCATCATTCTTTAGGAGGTTGTCCATTCGATGGGCCTCAAGAAGGGACGGAAAGGTCAGATGATATTGAAAGTGGACCTAGCAAAAGCGTATGACAGACTGAGCTGGGAGTTCATCAGAGATACCTTGCAGGAAGTAGGCCTCCCTACTAATCTCATTAATGTGATCTTGGAATGTGTGTCTTCATCTTCAATGCAGGTTCTCTGGAATGGCAATTGTACGGAGCCTTTCACCCCATCTAGGGGGATCTTCCAGGCTGCCCACTATCTCCCTATATCTTCACCTTGTGCATGGAGAAGCTGAGCTACACCATTCAGGATGCTGTCAAGAAAGGGGCATGGAAACCGATCCTCACTTCCTCGGGAAGACCTGCACTTTCACATGTTTTCTTTGCTGATGATCTGATCCTGTTTGCAGAGGCTAGCACGAAGCAGGGAGAGGTTATTATGGACTGTCTTGACCGTTTCAGTCAGGCGTCGGGCCAGCAGGTTAGTAAGGAAAAATCAATAGTCTTCTTCTCAGGGAATACTACGCGGCAGAGAAGTACAGTCATTGCTAATCAGATGGGCATACCCATGACACAGGATTTGGGGCGTTACCTCGGTGTTCCAGTCTTGCATGGGAGGGTAACCAAGCAGACCTATAAATATATCTTAGATCGCAATGATAACAAACTTGCAGGTTGGGTGGCCAAAAACCTCTCTCTTGCAGGGCGTGCGACTTGGGCGATGTCGGTCATTAGCTCCTTACCAACCTATGCAATGCAGACTTCATTCCTCCCCATCTCAATTTGTGATGAGATTGACAAGAAAACTCGGGGGTTCATTTGGGGAACAACGGGGGACAAAAGAAAAATCCACCTTGTCCATTGGGAGGGAGTTTGTCAACCTAAACGAGATGGAGGACTTGGGTTCAGGAAGGCGCATGAGCTGAATTTGGCTTTTTTGGCTAAACTAACTTGGTTATTAATCAAAAAGTCTGAGGAGCTGTGGGTGCAGGTACTTCAAGCGAAGTATTTCAAGACTGTCAATGGAGTGACTGTAGCCAAATCGATCGGCCGTGCGTCCTCATTGTGGTGAGGAATGAGGAAAGCCTGCCGGTAATGGAAGCAGGAATGCTGATGCGGCTGAGGAATGGTGAAACCACGAGTATGTGGGTAGACCACTGGGTCGCACCGGGGGTGTTTCTCCTTGACTACACTATCGAAGGGTGCCCGCCGATTGACATCAACAGCAACGTGGCTGCGTTTGCTCCAAATGGTAAGTGGGACTTCGATAGATTGACGCACTACTTACCGGAGGAAATGATTTTGCAGATAGCAGGGACTGAGCCGCCGAGTGAAGGAATTGGTGACGATGAGCCTACCTGGGGGCCGGATGTGAAGGGAGATTTCAGTGTTGGCTCAGCTTATACCCTGGCGGCGAGTCTCGATGACAGTAGCAGCAGTGCGCAATGGAAGGTGATCTGGCGATGGCCGGGGCCGAAAAGAGTGCGCCATTTTCTTTGGCTAGCAGTGCGAGAACGAATTCTCACCAACAGCGAACGGGAGCGGAGGAAGCTGACGACCAGGAACGAGTGCGGCCTTTGCATTGGCGAACCAGAGACAGTCCTGCATGTGTTGCGAGACTGTCCTTTTGCCAGGTTAACTTGGATGAAACTAATCCCACGTTCTGAATATCACCATTTCTTCGGAGACAGTTTGCAAGATTGGATTGAGAAGAACCTCAAGGTTGAGCACACTGGCCTTGATTTTGGCCTTACCTGCTGGTCTCTCTGGAAGACCAGGAACGATCGAGTTTTCGCAGGCAATATCGTGACGACTGAAGGATTTCTACAGCGCGTCCAGACTTGGATAACTGTCGTGAGAACCGCCTTGGACAAGGAAAGGCTTCTCCATATGCCTAATCCGGCCGCTAGAAAGGAGGCGAAGATCTCGTGGAAGCTGCCTCCTCCTGAGTGGGTAACCCTCAATACGGACGGCTCCGTTCTTTGAGATACAGGCCATGCTGCAGCTGGTGGTCTGTTAAGAGATCATACAGGCAAATGTCTTCGGGCATTTGTAGCGAACTTGGGGATATGCTCTATCACTCGGGCGGAGTTTAGGGGCGCTGTGGAAGGACTTCAGTTAGGTTGGGATGCTGGTTACAGACATGTCAGACTTGAGTTAGATTCCGCCTGCGCGCTGCAGCTGCTGCGGAGTACTGACTATGAGGAGCATCACCATGCAGCCATCATTGATAGAGCGCTTGAGCTACTTACGAGACAGTGGGATGTTGAGATTGCCCACGTATATAGAGAAGGTAATAAGTGTGCAGACTATCTTGCCAGTAGAGGTCATCATAGCTCTCTGGGTATTCATATGTTTCCGATTTTAGATCCTATCCTGTGTAACTGGATTTTGTACGATGTTCAGGGGATCACCGAACCCCGTGTGATTTTGAATGAAAGGTAGGGTGTAGTTGCATCCATTTAATAAAAAAAATCCAAATCTTGCATGAAGTTCTTACAACACAATCTCTGATAGTCCATTTTTTCAATCTCTTAATCCAAAAACCATGTGTTTCATCTATATTCTCTCTCTACAAGACATCAACCCACTTGATCTGTTCGAAGATGCGATCCTTAGGGAATCAAACTGCTTGGATTATGTGACAGTCATTAAACTTCTTGACTTCTATCTATCTATCTATCTATATCTATCTTCTATCTATATCTATATCTATCTATCTATATCTATACTAAATATTATGGCTATTCAAAAATAACTTATTGCCACATAAGCACTTGGTGAATGCACAAGTTGCCAAGGTGGACAATTTTTTTACAAACAAAAAACTATTTATTGATCTATTTATGAAGCTATCTCTCTCTTCTTTTAATAATTCTACTAATTTTTACTAAAATTAAAATTAGTTAATTTTATAGGAAACATTTAAATAAAAAAACACATACATAAGTAATAATCTTTTTTTCAATTAAACAAACTATAAAGATGGAAACAGAGAGTGGCATATATCGTATCTGTTTAACCCAAGCTGATTAAATCTAATTAAGTAAATTTTCTACTCATTTTTACTAAAATTTAATAATAATTTGCATTTTGTTGAAGAAAAAAAACAAGCACACACATAAATAATAATAATTTTCAATTAAAAAATATAAACGATGGTCTAAGAGAAAACAAGCGTTTGATAATCAATCAACTTTGAGAAATGAACGATATGACTATATGTTTTTTTTTGCTATCAAACACTCACTTCTTTCTAATGTATATACATATCAAATAAAACAAGTATAAATTTTATAGCAAAATGTTTGAATATAAACTTGACAAAATATAAACGATGGTCTAAGAGAAAACAAGCATTTGATAATCAATCGACTTTGAGAAATGAACGATATGACTATATATTTTTTGCTATCAAACACTCACTTCTTTCTAATGTATATACCGATCAAATAAAACAAGTATTAATTTTATAGCAAAATGTTTGAATATAAACTTGACAAAACAATAATTGTTATTTTTTAAAAAAATTCTTATTTATTCCGAGTAAATGAAAATATATTAATTATTAACGCAATATTTTAATTTATTTATGTCCCTTTCCCCATTTTGATTGTCTCACTAGAAATAAAATCCAACTTTGAAAATAAAAAATCAAGAAAGTATGTGAACCACCATAAAAATAAACAAAGCCCTCTTATTAGTTGCTAATTTTTTTGAGACTTCTAATATTTGTATTCTCATAATTTATAGAGAAGGAAATGGTAATGCATATGATTTATTTTTCTTTGTATGAGAATAGGAGGCAGGAGTTACACGAGGCAAAGATTAGATGACAAAATTTTAAGCAGTTGTAACATATTTTTGCCTGTTAACGAAAAAAGTTCATATGATCATTGTGAATAGGAGGCAGGAGTTCATATGAGCAGTGGTAATGCATATGATTTATTTTTCTTTGTATGAGAATAGGAGGCAGGAGTTACACGAGGCAAAGTTTAGATGACAAAATTTTGAGCAGTTGTAACATATTTTTGCCTGTTTACGAAAAAAGTTCATATGATCATTGTGAAGATGAGGTGAACCAAGCAAAGGATTGTCGACTGCTCCCTCTTTCTCCTTGATCTGAAGCTGGAAACTGGTCTCACTTTCTCAGCGATATGTTATTGTTTGTGGTTGACTGGCTGAGTTATACTCTTCTTCCCATTCTTTTCTTAATTTCTTCGAAATTACGACTGCTGGATGGTAAATTTTCCCACTCTCGATGAGTGAATGTATTTCTTCTTTTTTTTTTCACGGAGAAGGGTCACCATATACTTTTATTTAAATATTTAAAATATAATTAGAAGGGTTAATTGGTTGGACTTAGGGCATACCTCCTTTGGTTGAATAATTGATCGTTTTTCTTGAATGCCTATTGCAACCTGATTTCTTGAATGTTGAAATGGAAAGCAGAGTTGTGATGGTTGTTTATTATATTTTATGTTCATGATTGACATGCTACTAGCTAGCAATACAATGATGATCTGTATTTTAGTAATTAGTAGGTAGCAAAGAGGTTATAAGTAGAAGGGAACATAATTGGGGCTTTATAAAGGTCGCGAAGAAGAAAGAAATGATAATGGTGGTTTCTCAATTGTCTATTTCGATGTTTTTTTTTTAATTTCTACATGTTTGTGGTGACATTTGTTTGTTTCATTAAGGCGAATTTTTCCGTATTGAATCTCTAACTAAAGCTTGATTTTGACATGATTGTTTTCTTACAAACTACTATTTGGATTGATGCATATATTCAGTTCACAAATGAGGAATCTGCATGATAAAATGAGTTGAGTTGTATTGAAGACTGCTCCTTTCATTATTTGTCTATGTTGTTGTTAGGTAAAAAATCACAATTATTTTCTGCAGGAGATATGTAGCTCTCTACAAAATATAAATTGTGTTTAAGTATATGCAGTTTAATTTGATGAAAATATTGCTTTAATAAGTTAGTGACAGCTGATAGTTTTGTTTGTGGTTGGTTTTGCTAGAACATTTCAAGGTAATTAAACGAGTACGTAGAAGATTGATGGACGTGGATGCTAATGAGTTTCCGCATTATTCCAAAATTGTATGTGTAAGTGATAATACACGATATTCATGGGATTTAGATCGGAATATTCTCTATTATCATATACCGACATATGAGAAGGGAGAGGGGGAAAAAGCTCTTCGCTTATTTTCGCCATGTAGAAAATTTTCGCCATGTAGAAACTTAGGGAATCAAACTGTGATTTGGATTATGCAAGAGTCATTAACCTTATCTTAATTTATAGGGTAATGTTTATTTTTTATCCAAATTTTTTTTAAATTTTTTTTATTAGTCAAACCTATCGAAATACTAAGAATTAGTCAGTTATCAATTTTGTTAGTAATATTGCCTTGACAACATGATACTGACTTGGAAGAGACACATGAAGGTCAACATTCCATAATTTTAGTATTTTAACTAAGAAAAGAATTAAAAAAATTTAATGATAACGTAAAAATGGCTAATATTTTGATGCATTACAAATTTGGCTAATTAATAACATTTTAATAGGTTTGGATAATATAAAAGAATCTGAAAAAGGTTTGGATAAAAAATAGACATTACCCTAACTTATATTATGATCGTTGTGGAGAAACTTTTCGCCATGTAGGACATGGTAAGTTTCGCCATTTTCCTTGTATATTAATCATAACTATTAAGATTTGAACCTGCAACCTATGAGTCCTGATTATAATCACTTAAACTGTTCAGCCAATAGAGTAAAATCTATTAGATTATATTAGTCACAACAAAATAGTACTTATGCCATCAAATAAGTTTAAAACTAACCTCTGCCGTTGATTTTTTTTACTTTATCGGTCACATCGGACTCAATTTTAAAAACATGCATCTATCTTCTACATAAATTGTACTACGAAAAAATGTAATGTATAAGTTCTATGTTCTATTTTCTATCCATCATAAAAATCATTAACATCTAAAAATAACTTTTGCTTAAATTAACCATTTTAAAAAATTGAAAAATTACAAATAAAAAGGTGAAAAGTATGCTTTTTATGTTAAACAAATCTAAAATTTAATCTTTCATGTCAATTGGAAAATTAGAAAAAAGAGAATAACTTGACATGGTTATGTTAACGGGGAAATTGGCAAACCACCCGAAATACAAAACCGGAACACCAAGAATATAATTTCTATTTGTACGTACTATCATAAATATGTGAACTAATACACTTATATTGCAATTTATTAGAAATATTACAACATTTTCATGTGCTTACTACATCACTTGGAGATTATATTGTAAATTGAAAATGATTTCTTGCTAAACAAAAAGACATGATCACGATCACTTATTCGTGTGACATATTCATATACCATAGAATTACTAAACTATACCAACATAGATCAACCATGTGTTACCATGATACACGACAAGTTATCTTTGGTCTATCCTAAATACGTCTGTGATCCATTGGTAAAAGAAATCACATAAAAACCAAGGTATATATTAATTGTTAAAAGATGTTCAGAAAAAATAAAAATAGGATTTTTTTTTGTCTCTAGGGATCGAATTGAACGTCTCGCTTATTAACTCAAATTCCAAATTTTCCTTTTTTCACATCAATTCATTCTTTTTTCAGGCTTTCATCCACAATTATTAAAACAATGTTTTTACTTTTTCCCTAATGAAATTCTAATTTTTTTCTTTTCCTTTTTTATCTTTTGAAATTAATTATTTGTTTATTTTTCTAGATACGTGAATATGGAAAATCTTGGGTCAAATTCTGATGTATTACCCCAAAAAAGTACGACTTTGTCAATAATATTTATATTGTTAGATGGATATAATGATTTAAGTGTAAATAACTTCCGATGGTGACATGCATGTCACTGTAACTTACCCTTTTAGGTTGAACTTATATAGGATTACGTCGACCTAATCAGCACTTTTAGGTCAACCTTATATAGGATTAGGTCGACCGAATCGGCACTTTTAGGTCGGCCTTATATAGGATCAATGCAGTCAAAATCGCGCTTTAAAACTTATGATTTTACACTTTTAGGTCACCAAAAACGCTTTCGTTTCCATATAAAATATTTAGTGTATAAAATCGGGCTAAATTTTGTTTTAGAACTTAAAAACTTACGCTTTTACACTTCTAGTTCACCAAAATGCTTTAGGCTTTTAGTTCACTAAATGCGTATTCTTTTCATGAAATTAATTATAAAAACTATATTTTTAAGGTAAATCACCAACAATATGATACATTTTAGATTAAAAGATACATACAAGGTAGTTGGATGCATTCTCAGCTTCAATAGAGGAATATAATTCACCAGCTAGGTCCTTCCCAAATTCATTAGCATAAAGGGGAAGGTGGCTTATTGTTAAGATGCTATGAGTTGCTCTACT